GTTATTACTTTATACATATGTTGATACATATCTCAAATTTATATACACCCACATACACACACACACACACACACACACGTCCCTTTCCTTCCAACATGAATGTTTTCAACACAGAAAAAGTAAAGAGAAGAGATTGAGTGCTGATTAGAACAAAAGTCGCACTGTACCTTACAGATTTCAGCATGTCTCATTAAAACCGGGCTTGAAATATACATATCCTTTAATAAATAAAGCTTAAGGTACATAAACACTGCAGCGGATATAAATTATTTTAACCAAAGTATGTAGGGAAAAAAAATTACTGGAACACCACGATCCAGGGCATTTTACAGTAAATTGGACTTCATCAGCGGTTTTGCATTTTTATTTGATTTTGGAGTTCCTCCACTAAAGCTGTAAGTTTTGTAGAGTTTATTTCACACCTTGTAATTTAAAACGTTACACTCCATCGAAATTCCTCTCAAAAAAAGGACCTGAGTAATTAATGTCTTTGGGCTCAACATTCATTATATCCCACTAGTGTGAAAATTCATAAAAATAAGACATGGGATTAGGAGCTTAACAGCCTCACACATTTGCAGAGCTGCTGCATTGGCAAATATTTCTCTGCTGTGTCGGAGTGGAGAGCGCTCCTGGCTGCTTTCATTTGTTTCGTTGGATCATCCAAGTCATTAGAAAGTGCCTGAAAAGTAACCTCACGTCTCATGCTCCTACTTTTTCTTGGGAGCAGATAAATAAAAGGGGTTTGGGTCATTTTTTCCCATGATCTTCTATTTCCTTCATTTGGTAGGATGTGCTTTACCTCCTCATAGAGACAATGGGAATTTGGGGCACTTGCATCAAGGGGACTCCAGATGCCCTTGGACAGGAAGCAGGACCTGGGCTTTGATTACTGAGAGCTGAATTGCTTCCTTTATGAAAACGCCCTGGGTTCTCCTCCCTGGTTCCAAGGAGGTGGAACAGCTCCGGGTTGAATCACAGACTCCATTTTGCCCTTGGCGGATTCATAGATACAGTGTGTGAATTTGTGCAATGAACAGTAACTTTGACCAGAGTTTAATTTCGGAGGGACATAAACCATTCACAAAGTTGGGCTGAATTTGACAAGCACATTTTGCCAAAAAACCAAACAAAACCAACAAGCCTAATACAGGAGGCTCTTTTTAGAACTTCAAAACATTTCATTCCAAAGTGTTTTCAGAGCAAAGAGGTTGACTTCATGTAGGTGTTTCTGAAATGAGCCTTTTGGAGGTTTTATTGAAAAGCCTGACTTTAGGAAAAAAAAAAAAGAAATTAAACTGTAAAATGGAACATTGTGTTTCAGATCAAACACCATCTCCTAGGTTGCCTCAATATCTCTGGTTTATTTTATCTTTTTTTTTCCTTTTCTTAAGACTCTCTTGGTTCAAAACAAACAGAATTGCTTCATTCCTTGGTCGCCTCCCTCAGGTATCTAAATCTGACCACAGTACAAAGCATCCTTTATTCACCCAGGTCCAATCATTCACCCCAGGACATGGCTGGCTACAAACTCTAAGGAGTAGATCAGTACAGCTCTCCCTGCAGGTCTGGCTACTCAATTTCCTCCTAAACTGGGCAATTCCAATGATGCTGAAGCCACTCATCACGACTCCCTCTATAGCCGACAGTGAGAAATTCCAGCCCAAGATCCTTAGGACAAGCCATACTCCAAATATGCAGGGAAACAAGCTGTCCAGTTTGGACTCAGAGATACTTTAAGTGAGGGGATGTGAAATCTGCCACAGATCTACTCTTGGGCAGAAAGTACCACTGGAAATCACTGTTTTCATTACTGCACGTGCCTGTGGAAAGGAAAACCGTTTCCAAGATAGACCAGCTATTCCATCTGCCCTGGAAATTAATCTGTCAGCAGCAGCTGGGAAAAGTGCATCAGCATTCAAGTACTTTCCTGCCTTCTGATGTTTAGGGTCACATTTGCATCACCTTTCTGCCAAGTGCTTTTTGGCTGTAAGATGATGCAGTCACCGATCCAGGGAAGTTCGGCTTTTCAGGAAGTTCTCTAAAGAAAAGCATACCAGAAAAACGGATTATTTTATTTCGCTCTGCACACTTTTTAAACAATATAATTAATATAACTGGCTTAGCATCCTAAATGAAGTTTGCACATTTTACCCCATGAACAATACTTCTAACTTAAGAAGTTAGCACACTGGTAAAAAAAATAAGTAATTTACACATCTTCTTTGAGCTTAATGAAAGAAACTTCTACCTTCAAGCTTGACCCAGAGGCTTTTCTCTCCAGCCTAGAAAGCTGTTTTGCACTCAGAGCAACCCACCTTTGTACTGAAAGGATGAGGAGATTCTAAGGAAACATCTGGGCTTCTCAGATGGGTAAAAACTGGGAGATCTCTCAGCAAAGTTATTCTTTAGTTTGATCAAAAAATCTGTCAGCACATACTCTGGCTGGTGAAGAGGTGATAAAATCATTCAGTTTTAGGACATGGAGTGGTTCTCAAATTTAAATCAGATGGAAAGAGAGACAACATGTTTTCAAAAGTAGTTAGGCTCTCAGCTAGAATTATGACTCGTATCATTTTCTTGTAGTTGCAAATTGAGCGTGTTTCTGAGTTTGAATACAGCAGCAAATAACCACCCCACCATACTTTTCTTATGAACTGATCTTACATCATAGCCCTGTGCCCTCATGAGGACAGCAACTGTGAAACACGGTACTGTTGTCCTTGTGAGCAAGCAGTGATCCAGTGCTTTGCTTGCTCTGAGGGTATCTACATGAGTTGACGCACAAGCATGACGATGAGTCACAGATGGCTCGATTAGTGTTGGAAACTCAATGCAGATCTGAACAACTTTTGGATGCTTCCCACCATGCATATTTCACTCCCTGTCTCACTGCAGAGCCCACTGTGCAAATGCCTTAAAGTGTAACACAGGAAGAGTTGTGCGTTGGGAACTGGAAAAAACATTCTCTTCAAACACAGTTAATAGGGCAAGAATACCCAAGTTTAAACTGCAGCCATGTAGTTTCCAGTCAGATCTTGGAGTAATCTTCTACGAGTGACAGACAGATTCTCCATCACTGCAGGGTGCAGAAAGTATTGGACAATTCTCTGCCAGTACAGCCAGGGTGGACTAGGTTCTGGCTATGAGCTACAGGACATTTTGAGAACCTTTCCCCTTCCGTCATTTCAGAACAGGTCAGCCCACCTGCAGTTTAGTCTTGCTTGGAAGTTGCACCCTGAAAACTCATAGTCTACAGGTCAAGTCCGCACACAGAAGCTACTAAAGCAGCAATCTAAGAAATAACACTAACTTTTCAGCAGGAGCAGAGCTCACATTTGTTCAAGGAAACATCCCCCATAAGCATCACACGTACCTGGATGGTTAAGCAGTACTGAGGTAGAAAGTTTTGTTTGAGGGTACCCAGGACTGGATTAAAACTGCTGTGACCCCATACAGCAAAACATTGATGCAGTGTGTACCTCTCTGCCTAGTCAAATTTATCCTCTGAATTGTTATGGGGCAACTTTAGTCCAACAGAATTCATGTCAAATGAGGTATCATCTGGCTTCCTGCAGCCAATATAAAACATGAAGCCAATATAAACACTATATAGCATGTTCTAGGTAATTCAACGCAAAGCAGCAGTGTACACACACCTGACCTGGATCATATTTGTCCTGCCAGGTGATTTTGCAATACTCAGACTGAGTGTTAATGATGTGGAATCCTAGCCCCATCTATTGCCCTGACAAGCCTTCATCTAGTGTTTCTCTCTTAAAAAAAATCCTTCCTGTCAGTTCAAGCTCAAATGCAGCATTCAGAGATACTAATACCGTCCTGACAGGTTATTAATGATGAGTTTTCTCTCTGCAATCAGGCTTAAAAAAGGAGCCTGTAAGGAATAAGGTTTATGCCTCTTAGCAGAGGTGCAAGAAAGAACACTGATATTCAGCACCACTACAGAAAACCACCCAGCAGCAGAGTCCCAACCATCAGCTCTGAACAGTGTATGAGACAAGCAGCCCTTGATCTGCTCTTGACACTAGACCTCACTCCGGGCCAACTGTCCAGGTTAGTGGAGCTGTAATTCGAGGCAAGTCCCCACTAACCTGAAGTGCTATATCATGTAGCATGCAAATCCAGCACATCTGCTGTGCCCAAGGTTAAGCCCTAGCAGGGCCTTCTCCACCTTCGGCTACAGACATCACACATGCCCTCCATGTCCCATCAGCTCCACTGAGCAGCTTGCAGTGATCTCCTCAGATAGGGCCCAACATGCAGGATGTACCAAGGCACACTTGTCCTTCAAATATATGTTCTTGTGTCCTCTGAGAGCACCTTCCCCTTCAGCTGTGTTAATAGCCATCACCTGGTTCCTCCATTGCCACAGGCAAACCTGCTGCCTGCTTGTAATCCAGGTAAGATAACAGTGTTGGATTCACCTCCACCTCAGAATGTATGCCACAGCTTACTTTAGACAGCCCAACAGGCCAGCCATGCAAATGAAACCGGGGCAGTTTTCCCTCCCTTCCCAACCCATATCTCCAACCCTACGGGACAACTGTCCCTGGACTTCACACACCTCTGCTGTGCTGCAATTCTTCTGAGTCCAACACTACAGACTGTTATAATGCCTCTTGGCCCTGAGATCAAGGAAGGGTCTAAAAAGTGCTACAGCCCCATCTCCTGAAAGCAATTCAGTTATCAGGTGAGGGCTTGACTAAGCTTGATTCAGTTTATACAGCAGGGAAGTGGCAGTGGCATGGTATCCCCCAGCTTACATGGAACCGCATCCCAAATGCACAGTCGTAACTGCCTTGGGCTTGCACAGAAATCGAGTGGCCTCTTGTTTCAGGGTTATCTGGTCATTTCTTCCACAAAAACTCCCATGTCGGCAAATGCAAATATTTAAAATTCTCAAGCTTTCTTGAATTTGTTGTATCTGCCTTCAAGATTTTTTTTTTGTTTGGCTGGTTTTTGTTTTTTTTTTTTTTTAATATTAGATGGTGCTGAGTTTCCAAGCTTTTCTCTACAGGGATGAGGCCATCAGGTGACCCACAGTGTGGACAGCCAGCCAAAACTCTGTGGAGATGGGCTGTGAGCAGATAAGGCACGGGGAGAAAGCCCTAGGAAGGAAAAAGGAAGATTTCATTGTGAGAGGTTTAAAGTGATCCTGAGAAAATCTCTAAATTGAGAGTTTACTGAAGGGGTGGATAGGAAGGAAAATATTAGAAGAGGAGGACTCCCAGGCCTTACTTTATGTTACTGGCAGCAAGGCTGTGTCTAAACAGTCCATGTAGCTTCTCTAAGCATGCAGTGATTGCAGAGGAGATACCTGAGCAGACACACTGGAGAATTGTGTCCAGTTTCCATCTGGGCTTTGGCAATGTCTGTCTTAGCACTGATTATGAGAAGCAATCTCACTATCCAGAAAACACGGAGGCACAAATTTAGTAGAGGAGCCTGGGGAGGTATTGTCAGTACATCCCTTTTAACGATATAGTCCTGACAGGATGTTTAGCATCTTTTCTTTCTGGTAACTGCTATAACTGGGAAAAGCAAACAGAATAAGCCCAAAGAAATATCAGCCATTCTATAGGTGCAAAGCAGAAGCAGGAATCTTCAAGGCCAAGCAGGACCAGGAAACAAAAGCTCTGAGTTGAGTTAGTTGTGTACCAGTCAGTCCTGTAAGAGAAGTCGAGTTTCTACCTTTCATGGATTCTCTGTGCTCTGGTGTGCAGCTGAGCCCCTGCCGTCCACAGGGTGGATGTTTTAGTGCCTGGCTCTTTTTAACTGGCACATGTTAAGAGCTTTGAATTAGCAGGTGCATAAAAACTGTCAAAAACCACTTAGCTCTCAAGACAGTCTGTCGGTTGCATTAAAAATATGGTTTTATGTAACCACATTCTCTCAACACTTGCTGGGTATTACGGCATGGGAAAGTCACTTGCCCTTTCCAAATGAAAGCAGCGATGTTTTGACTCTCCTACAGAAAAAGAAAAAAAGAAAGAAAATGAGAAAGGCTACAATTCCTGTGATCTTGCCAGGGAATTGCTCCTGTTTTCCACACTAACTTTAGATTTCTTCCAGCAAAACAGCACCAGCCTAAAGCTCCACACTAGAGGCAAGCACCCCAGGATACTAAAGGGCCAGTGTCTTGCAGCCTCACTGAGCTGGAAATGAGGGATTTTTGACAAATGAATGAGAACATGTCCCACTTTCTGCCTAAGGAGGTGGTATTTGCTGCAAGTGTGATCTGTGGTTAAAAAAAAAAAAAAAAAAAAATAAATTGGGAGTTTTACAGGGGTTTAGAGCTAGGAAAAAAAGCTATTTGTGCCCATGTTTCAGAAGAGATTTAGAAATAGTTTCAATTCTCACTCTCCCCATAGTCACGAGTCCCAGACATCTGGGACCCCAGAAACAAAGGCATCAGGTTTCCAGAGTGGAGAGAGTTACAAGATAAAGGTCCAGGAGAATTTTTAAAACACTCAAAAGCACTTCTGAAATCAGCTCCCTTTCAAATATGTGGCAAATACATTAAAGTGAATTTTGGATTAAAGTTTTACTGCCTCTTGATAAAAGCCATTTGCACCTTTGATGTGTTTGTGGATTGCAGCCATCCCAAATGCCTTCCCCAGCACTCACCCTCATGAGGAAGTCTCCCTCTGTCTCTCTCCAGGAATGCCCAGATGGGTTATCATCTGTCACCTCTCTAGAGGTGATCAGCTCAAAACAGCCACCTCTGGGGTCACAGACACAGTAGGTGAAACCAAAGATTTCTGAGTGCAAGCATTTAAGGTGTAATGGTGAATGTGGATAACCCCAAAGCCTGTGAGAAGTGGAAGGAACAATAGGGACGTAAGCTTCTGAAACTGGCAAAAAGTTTAGTACTACTGAGTTTTAATTCTATGAATCAAAACACTTCCAGTACCACCTTGCACTTCCCCACATTCTGCTCAGCCTGATTGCTTTGAAAAGCCCTGGTTACTTCCCTAGCATGGAGGACTGATGGGTCCATGAAGACTCTTGGCAGCTGCTAGAGGCAGGAAGGGAAATCAGTTGGACCGAAGGAGAAAACTTATTGGTGGCTTAGGATGGTTTGAGAAGTGGATGACTCCAGTGCTGCAGGCAGCTGGGGCAAAAGAGATGGACTAGACCTTGGAAAGTGTTTCATGATTCCTCCCCTATGAAATGCAGATATAGCTTTGTGGATGTCAAGGCCAGAAAGAATCCTCATGAATGTCCAAGTGCAATGGCCAGGATAAGGAAAATAATTTCTTATAGCTTCTCAGGTTCTGCCAGTGAGAGCATCACCCCTAAGAGACTCACAGAGGGACTGTCACTGGCAATACCAAATATGCTGAGCAAGTCCAGGAGCGGGAGCCTGCCTGCTTGGCAGTGCTGGTTTCCTGCAAAACTGGTTAATGTCAGTGAGACTGATGAACACTCCACAGTAGTCAGGGGATGCAGTGGGATGTCATGGAGAAAAGTCCATTGCTAAATATTTTGATTTGAGGAACGCAGAAAAGAAAACAATTGGTATTTTAGCAGAGAGGGAGGTTGTAGTGGGGAGATCTGGAAGCAAGAAGAAAATCCTGCAGGGAACCAGGCATGACATTTTAAAACAGCTGCAAGACGTTCTTCATGGAGAATCAGAGAAGCGTGTTAGAAAAATGCTGAAATGGACCTGGTATTTTATGAGCACATCCTCATGCTAACAGCATCATCTTCTCTGCCATGAGGTTAACCACTAAAACACGGGACCATTTGAAGCTCACACGACAGCAAAACCAGAGACACAACCACTAGGACACCATCAGCACTATGGAATATGAAATATGCACAATCAGCAACAAGAGCCATCACCTAAACAGCTACAGAACTACTCAAAACATGATGCAGGGTTTTGGTGATACTTAAAAACCTAATCTAGATCCAAACTGGGCAACTTTGTAGAATATGTCTGAATTGGATTAACCTCTCCCTGGGACAGAGAACCTCTGTACTCTGGAATGGGAAAAGTGACTTGAGCCTGCAAAGACATAGCTGTTTCGCTCCAGTGAGCTCATGTTGCAAAGGCAGTGAGCATACTCAGCACAGATTTCAGCACAGGCTCACAGCATGAGTCTCCAAAGACATTAGAATTTGTTGCCCAAACTAACAATCTGCAGGATAGACAATTTGTGCCTTTTCAGCCATACCGTACACAGACTAGTGAGGCACCCCTGCTGGGCTGATGATGAGGTACCTCCTAAGGCTGTGGTAGTGCAAAACGTTTCTTCCACATGGAGACAGTAAGGAAGATACCATGGCTTGCTGAGACACCATCTGCTGGAGACCTAGCTCTAGCCTTTAGTGAAGGAGTCACACCAACAGTGACCTTCTGTTATCTGCTGCCCAGGAATGACTCGACGGTTCTCCATCCCTAGAATAGCATGTTGGAAGGGACCTCAAGGATCATCTGGTCCAACCTTTCTTGGTAAGCATGACCTAGAATAGATGACCCAGCATCCTGTATAGCCAAATCTTAAAAGCACCCAATGCTGGGGAGTCCACCACATCCCTGGGGAGATAGATGGCTGATGGTTCTCATTGTGAAATATTTTCCTCTGGTGTCCAATTGGAACCTCCCCGGGAGTAATTTGTACCCATTACTCCTCAATCTTTTCCACGTGAGTCCTTGTAAAAAGGGAGTCTCCATCTTCTTTGTAGCCAGCTCTCCTGGGAACATGGTGGTTCACAGCCATGTGGAAGCAGTGGTCAAGAAGGTCATCTGCCCTTTAGCTATGTGGTAGGTAGCTGAAAGTTGCTGCTGGACCTTGTGACTGGAGTGCAGCCAGGTCCTCACTTGATATTGATCACTAGCAAGACATCTCATGACATTGATAAGCTTGAAGTTCATGGGGTGACTCTGTCCTTTGTTCTACTGTCTCCTTTACTGGCTCTTTGAAGAAGCTGTGTAGGTGAAATAACTCAGTGGGGTCTCCTTCAGGACATTTAGGTACTAGTGCAGAAGCAACATATGGTCAGCAATTGTGCATGTGGAGCTGCTCCTGATGCATGTCAGTGAGACCTTGACTGCTGCTATTCTATTATAAACCTGTTGCAGTATTTGTTTAAGAGTCCCAAGCCACAGTGAAGTCAGAGCAATGCCTTCCCAATAAACAAGTAGACTGAGATCTTGGGCCCAGTTTGGCCCTGCATTATAAGGTAATGTCTGCAAACCAGAACAAAGACCCATTACTCTGCACCACAGAGAAAAGAAATGTCAGAAAGACATTTGAAGGGCACAATCAGCACTAATAATAAGAACATGAGAGAATCATACCAGATGATTCTATCTTAAAATACACCACCAGCACTACACCAACTGCTTCAGAGGAAAGCAAGAAACCTTACAGGGGGAATGTTGAAGAGTCCCCATTATTCAGAGATTTATTTATGACTCATGTTTCATTTTAATTACACACAAAGCAATTAAGGCTGGTTTGTGTGCTTTTGTCTTACTTGGCGCCAACCCTTGCAACCAAACTCAGGGAGGGCCATGGTTTCAGCCCATGCATGGTCTGGGTCAACAGTGATTCTGTTCCTTAATCCAGCCACATTAATTAATTAATTATTAATTAATTTCCACATCCTCCCCCATTCTGCAAAATGCAAGACTAAAGAGGTGTCCCTAATGCTGCAGCTTTCATGCTGGATGATTTATATCTACTTCAGTGGCATCAGTAGGCACAAAACAGGCTCTTCCAGTACTTGGGGTTTCATTCTCTGCTGTGACGAATCTCCAAGCTTTTGTCTTACCACCTGCTCAGATGGATCCCAGTGCTCCTCCAGACAACTGGGCTGAACAGGGCTTGCAAGGCAACCTGTCCCATCTCAATCATCCAACAGTCTCCAGAAAATAGCACAGCCCTTACATGGCATAGCCCTGGAAAAGGGAGTCATGCATTTGCTACCCACCTCTGAAGAACAAATGCGATGCCCTGACCCCCACACATGCTTTTGAGTCCCAGATACCATAGCAAATGGCATCCCTACTGCTGCTAGACATTCTGAACACCATTGCCTATTCTACAGGACACTGTCCATGTCCTCTGAAGGACTGTGTGTCATGGAATGCTGAGGCTGTCAGATCTCTGCCACATGAGGCCTGCTTTACTTATTGTGCAAGAGCACTTTCTCCCAGTTCTCACCTCTTGCACACATGTATCAGGTGTGAAAGCCAGTTCAGACATTAAAACCCACTGCTCAGATCTAGCAGTGTGGAAAAATAAAATCACTGGCTGATCAGCCAAACAAGCAGGTGGGAGTGGTATGGACAGAGGGAGGAGAGACAAGTTACTAAACCTGCCCAGTGCTCCCAACCGCCTCATTATACTGATTTATGTTTAGCTAATTGAGAAAATGACTCTAACTACACAATCCAGGCCCTAATTCAGAAAGGCCCAAGCTTTTTAGTATCTCTACCTGTATCTTAAAAGGCATGATTTAAACCCTGTAACTAACAGGCTGCCAAAGGCAAGGATTTGAAGGATCTAATGTCCTACCATGCCGAGGGTGTGAGGCTTGGCTAACTTCTCTCGTTACTTGGTCTTTCCCCACTGATGTAGAAGTTTGCTGCTGGGACATAAATCAGGGGAAATGATGAAGGAAACCAGTCTCGTGCCCCATCAAAGGAGCCAACACTCGCTTTAATAGGACCATGCAGACTAGCCTAAATAGGACACTTAACAAACATGTGGTTTCTATAATACGAGCCCACCTCTCTACACCCTGTTTGCACTGCCACTGGCAAAACCCTTTGTCTCTTGCACACCACACCTATATCCACAGAATCAGAAAAGGGACCATGAAATAATACCAAAGTGTTGAACGTACAATTTCTGCGTTGGATCTAGCTCTCGGCAACTGCATGAACAAGAGTGGAGCAGAGACTGAAGACACTGTGTCTACACAGAATCACACAAAAGTACCAAATTCAGTCCAGGGCTCACAGATACTGAAAGATCCCACACAAGGGGGATCTGGTGAAGTAGAGGCCTCAGGCTGGGAAAATTGTATCACAGGGGTTTTTATCCAAATTTGAACCTTGACAAAAGGATGTCAGGAACAGAAAGTCTATAGATCCTGCTGTCCTAAGCCGAAAATGCAGAATGGAAGGAATCCCAGCATGGGTGACAGTTCAGTAGTGCTCTGCCCCTTTGGTTCCAGAATAGTAAAACTGTCCCATGAACAATCCTTTCGAGCACGGTCTTAATATAGCTGGTGGGGAAACACAGTACCCCCAACCACTAGGCCAGTCACTACTTTTCGTTGTTACTAGTTTTTCCTCATTCAGTTCAGATGAGATACAGGCTCAAATGGAAGACACTACTGCGTCACAGAAGGTATTAGGAAGAATAGTTGAGAGAGAACGTGAGTCTCTCCCCAGATGGCTACCGTAAGCTGAAACCTCTATAGAGCCCAACTTCATCTGGCTGGATATACAATCAGATTGGGGATTGTTCAAGCGTTTTACACCATGCACTGGACATTCATGGGAACCCCAGGCTGAGCCATGACCATCTGTGCTCATTTAAACACTTCTTTACGGAGGAGGGAGTGTTATTCTCAACATCCTGGCCAAACTGCAACATGGGCAATTATAACATGCTTTGTAACATTCTCACAGCAGTATACATCAATGTTTTCCACTTCTTCTCATAGTGGTAATGTGGTGGCCCAACACAGAAATGGCTATATTGCCACAGGAGATTGCAAGTCCTCTGTGATAAGCCCTGCAGTGTTATTGTCAGGTATCACATGTTGCTCTATTTTCCCTGCCAT